TTATATAGAATAACTAAAATGATTTATTTTTAAAAATTGTCAGGTGTCTCTATACTTTTTACCAGTGAGTGTATATATTTAGATCACGAGAATCACAATTCCGGCGGCATTATTGCAAACAATCTGAAGTTTTTCTTTTGGTTTTTGTTTTTAAAGAATAGAAATAATAATATAATAAATAAATAATAATAAATAAATAAATAATGATAATAATAAATAAATGATGATAATATATAGAAATAATGAAGAAATATTTGCACATTCGTCAATTCCATCAAAAGTTTTTTTTTCGGCTACCAAAAAACAAATTAAGATATTGGTTTTTGTCTGTAAAATCACTATGAACGATAACTTAGTCTTTTATTTCGAAAAAAGCGAATATTGTACTATCCTAATAATGTACATATTACAAGAAAGAGTATTACAAGATTATTATTACAAAGTTCTTTAAATAAAGAAATAAAAGAAGGAGAAAGAGTAAGAGGCATATTACTCTTTAAAGTTTTCTCCTAACACTTGATTAATATCACCTTTTTAAAATAAACAAAGATATAATCATTATAAAAATATTATATTTATTCTGTGTGTATACGGTGATGTAATGTAATTGATAATTACCTTTGATTATCTCTTTTTTTATTTAGATAAAAAAAAATATAATATTCTTTCAACTCCTAAGAAAAAGATTTACGAAAAAAACTAAAACTTTAAATCACATGAATTAGTTTTATTTGTTGAACTTTTATTATTGAACTTTTATCAACTGTTCTTTAATAGAAACTCTCTTAATTAAATCAGTAATATAAATATAAAGGTTCGGAGTCTACACACAGATCTATATAAGATTCATTATATTTTAATTAAGATCATAAATTATGGATATTTCATGAAAACTTTATCGCAATACAAGAGATAAAAAAATTTATCTTTCTCATGTACAACAGCTTCAATATTTCAGCTTCTTTTAATTTTAATTGTACACTTTCTTGTACTCATCAAATTGATATTGACATCGGTTTGTTTGAAATTTAAATATTTTTTTTTCATATTTAATTTACAAAGGAAAGGTAAATATTATTTTATGGTGATTCATAGCATAAAATAGGAATGATTAATGATACAAAAATAAATTAATTTATTAAATATGTTTAATATGGTATTCCCCCTTTAAGCTTGCTAACTATTTTTTTCTATTTTTTTGTAAAATTATATATTTCAATATTTTTCTTTTTCATTATAGTAATTACAATTGTAGAAGTATTTAGATTTTTTTTTTTAATCATGAAATATGTCTAATTATAAATTTACTAAAAATTACATAATATGAAAATAACTTAAAAAAAAAAAATAAATTTAAAACTATAATTCGAATTTTTTTTAATATCGTTGATTGCCTCCAGGTATTTCAAGAATATTTGGTTCTTGACCTGGTTGTATGTCTTTAGGTTCTCTAGATTTACGAACAACAAACGTTACAATAAAAATACAAGAAATCAAAACCGCTGCGCCTATCGCTGTCCCAAGTCCAATTGCCAAAGATTTTGATGACTTTTTCTCAGGTGAGGTAGTTACAATAGATTTGGTAGTATTTGTAGTAGTAGTATCTGTAGGCGATTTATTATCAGGTGGGTTAAAAGTTGTAACCCACTTATTATTTTTTATATCATAAAGGTACACTTCAGCAGAAGAAGAATACAATTGAGTATCCAAGTTAAATCCTAAAAAAAATATGAAAAGTCATTAATATACTCGAAAAATGTTACTAAAAAATTAAAATCTACTTACCAAATGTAATTATCATAAAATCATTATATAAATTTGCAACATGTCCATAAATAGATGGCGGAGAATTTTCTTTAGATTCAGATGGAATGGTCCACTCGAAAGGATCTTTATTCGTGTCTAACAAAGCAAGCTTAGGACTAACACCAGCAAGATCAGCATTTTTGAGGGCATATGTGGAACCCCCAAATATGATAATATATCCATCTGGTGCTATTGAAAAAATTTATTTTATATAAATTTCTTATGTTTTTGGATACTTACTTAACACAGTGTTTTAGAAATAGCAAATAATTTGGATACTTACTTAACACAGAAGAAAAATATATTCTTGATTCAACTACATCACCAGTGGCATCCTTAGAATTAAATGCAACAATGGGTTATTATATATTACATTTGTTCCATAAATTAACTTCAAAAATATATACCATCAGTGACCATTCATTTGTATTTGTATCAAAAAGTTTAATCTATTTTGAAAATGATAAAAGAATTATATAATATATATTAATATTTATAAAAATGATTTGTTCATTAATATTCAAATTGCTTACTTTGTTTATATCCGCAACAGTGAAATCCGCATCATCAATAACCATTTCTATTCCGCCAAAATAAACAATAATTCCATTTGGCAAAATATTAACAGCATATTCGTTAGCTCTATTCGGAAGACTTCCAGATATGCTTAAAGTTGTCCAAGTATTTGAAACTGTATTTAATACATTCATGTCATTGTAAAGAACTCCTCGATTTGATGTTAAATTAGTGGCATTAAATCCACCAAATATGTACATTTTTCCCGTTTTATCAATTACTCCTTTTATATCCTGTCTAGGAGGAACCGGATCACCACCAAGTTTTGGTACAGACCATGTGGAAGTAGGATAATCATATGTGTAGACGAGATTTGAAAAATCATATTCTTCATCTTTGTTCATCATGTATCCTCCATATAGATAAATTGTAGAATTATCCAAACTTAAAACTGCAGTTGACCGCCATGTATATATAGGAAGAAATCCGTCAGGAATTGATGTCCATGTTAATTTGTCATTTTCAAATGATGTTGACAAATCCAAATAGAATAATTCATATGTATATTCGGTTATATTCGTATATCCACTGAATATTAAAAGTTTATCGTCGATTATTACACCATTATGGAATCTTCTTTTAGGTGGGTCATAGCATAAAATTAAATTAATTAACAATAAAGTGCAAAAAATTAATTTAAATAATTTAACTGGGAGATACATATTTAATACTGAAAATATTAGGATGGATATAGCTTTTTTTTTAAAAAAAAAAAAAAAAAAATGGCGTAAAAAATTTTTGAATGTCTCTTACATACGCTTTAGATACGAAACGGAGTTGTTAGTGTAACAAATTCTCATTGACAAATTTCATTGCGTAACAATTTAAATTAAAAATTTAAAAATTAAAATGGTTAATTGGTATTTTTTCTTAATTTCTTAATTTCGGCCGTTAATGTACATGCATTGACAAAATAAAAATCAGGAGTGGATTCATATAATTTTTTTTTTATCGGTTTTATACTTCGTTTTCAAAAATACTTAGTGACTGTATTTTTATTTTTTTCGTTCTTTTAGTATAAATTTCACAGAAAGAATTTCAATTAAATTTCTGTATTGATCAAGTCTCTATTTCACTACATTTCGATATACTTTCTTATATCAACATAATTCGGTATCTGACTAATTTTTTGAAGTTACCAATCTTAGAATATGATATTTGATTTTATTTCAAGCAAGTTGTCTTTACATATTTATAATATTTATCTTAAGAGAGAATGAGAGAGTAGTAGTAGCAGTAAGTAGTATAGCATAACCTTTTTAACACAAATTGATTTGCTCTATAAATAATTTTTATTTTTTCAGCCATGTCATGTTTACAATTTCATCTTTGGCAAAACTTCGAGAAGATTTGTTTGTGTAACTTTAACAACATCTGCATAGAGATAATCGTTTTCAATAACGTGGATGAACGCATTTACAACTTCGTTAATAGAGAGTGTACCATGTCGCTTAATGACTTCTGCAAAATTAGGATTTTCTTTCATCGCTTTTTTAACCATTGGAGTTTCTATTTAATGTAAAATAAATAAATTTGAATAATAAAATTAAATAAATAAATAAATTAATTAAAAATTAAATAAATTATAAATAAATAAAAAAATTAAATTAGAAAATACCTGCAAAATAAGGCGCAATTGCATTAACACGAATGTTTTCTTTTTTTAAATTATACAGTGCCTGAGTAAATCCGATTACCTAATGTATAAACAAAGAACAATATGTGAGATAAATATATTTTTAATAAACGGTGATATTATTACTTACCCCACTTTTTGCAGCACTATACACCGGAGCCACATACCAAGGATTTACTCCAGACATTGAAGCTTTGACAAAAAAAAAATGTGGACATTAAAATTTATAAAAAAATTTTCTTCTTTTCATTTTATAAATAAATATTCGAATATTTACCTGTGTTAATGATCACACCACCTCCATGTTTTTTTAAAAATTTAATTCCTATTTGAGTTCCTTCAATGACTGCAGTTAAATTAACGTTAATAGTTTTAATAAAATCACCTAAGAATAAAATAAAATAAAATAAAATATTTAAAATTAATAATAATTATTATGACCCTATATATATATATTTTTTAAAGGTGTTCTGCTCACGAGAATCATCATAAAATTCATTGACTTGTACAATTCCGGCATTATTGCAAACAATCTGGAGTTTTTGTTTTGTTTTTTAAAGAATAGAAAATAAAATATAATGATATGATATTAAATATAATGTTGTGATATTAATAAATAAATAATAATAACGATTAATAAATAAATAATAATAATAATGATTGATAATGTACGTAAATATTTTGTACGTACGTCAATTCTACCAAAAGTTTTTTCAGCTTCCAAAAACAAATTAAGGTATTGGTTTTTATCTGTAACATCACAACGAACGAATATTGCGCTATCTTTATGTCTACATTATAAGAAAGATTATTACATGATTATTACATGATTATTATTAAAATAGATAAATAAAGGAAGGAAAGAAGCTATTTATATAAAGAAAGAAAAGAAGAGGTATATTACTCTTTATTTAATTCTTCAGCAAGTTTTTTGCCTGACTCTTGATCAATATCACCAAAAGCAACTTTGGCCCTTTTAAACAAAATTAAAAATATTATATTTATTCTATGTGTATACAATAATGTAATTGATAACGATCATAAAATTTACCCACCCAGAGTTTATTAAAGTTTTAACCAAGTGAGCGCCAATTCCATTTGAACCACCAGTGATTACTACAACTTTATCTTTGATTCTCATTTTTTTTAAAAAAAATAAAATAAAATAATATAAATTCAAAAAATTTTTTTTATTAGGAAAAACAAAAAAAAAAAAAAAAAAACAGAATATTGATGAATTTCACATAAAAAATTCAGGATAGGATTATTTATTTTTTTTTCTAATATATTTTAAGAAAAAGATTTACGAAAAAACCATATATCGAAAACTTACTTCATCATTTTTTAATTCGAATTTTTATCATTGAATTTTTATTATCTATCTATCATTGGACTTTTTATTATTGCATTGAACCTTTATTAATAAAAACTCTTTAATTAAACTCTTCACACTTTATCATCACACCAAGAATATTTTCTTTTCACATATCACAAGATGAAAAGATAATAAAAACTTAGTAATAATAATGATAATGATAATATTACTAATACAAATTCTTTACTATAAATAAGAATAAATAATTGTAGTAATAGTAATTGTAATAATAAATAAATAATTGTCCCTGTTAATTTGCAGATGACATAATTTTAGAACACAATTTTAGGGGTTACACATGTAAATATAGTAACAATATACAACAACAATACACAATAAATAAATTAAAAAAAAATAGTACTTCTCAATAAAGCAACTGCACGAATGCAGTGGAAATAATTATTTCGAGAATAACCACCCATAAATAGCATCATAATTAACTTTATATAAATAATTATCTTATATATCATTATCATTTAGATAATTATAATTAATTAATTATTATTATATAAAATTATAATTAATTATTATATTTATTATATTGTTAAATAACTATGAATAATTAATTATATATATATATAACGCGTCAGGATTTTCAGGATTTCTTTCAAGTAGATTAAAACATTGTTAAATATTATATTATCCCTTAAACGGTAGTGACGTCACAAGTTACTTATAAATGTGCCCGCAATACACATGATTTACCGTTTAAGGGATAATCCACAATATCAGAAATTTTAATGAGGCTTTTCTATCTATCTCAGAGATCAAAAAAAAAATGTGACTATCAATGACAATCAAATAAAAAGAAAAATCAAGGTTAGAACCTCATGACCCAAACCATAAATGGCGTTTGATATCAACATAAAGTAATATAATAATAATAAGAGTAAAAGTAACAAACAACAGATAAATTCCCACGACGCAGATCTATCCAAAGTTTTAACTCCTTTTCCTTTTCTCTCTTCAATTTGATATATAAATATTTATTTATTTCTCTTGTAATCAATAATATCCGTAATAAAAATTAGTAATAAAAATTAAAAATATGACTCAAATACATCCTTTTGCCATTGTATCAAATGGAAGGATTTGGGCGGTACATCAAAATAATCAAGTTGAATCTACTACTTCTCCAAAATGTGCTTTATTTCGTCTTCGAAATTTAAAGGTATTGAATATTATTTTTTTACATTTTATTTTATATTTTATTATATTTTATTATATTTTTTTTTTATTATATTTTATTATATTTATTATTATTATTATTATTATTTTATTTATTTATTTATTTTTATTTTATATTTTATATATATTTATTAAATATTTTATTAAATTTTTTAAGGGACCAATTGATGAAGTAGCTTTATCTCATGCAATATTACTTCCTCATGATATTCGAGAAAATTTCGATTTTGAAGTGTCTGAATATGATGGCACTGCAGCTACTGTAAGTATCGATTAATTAATTAATTAATTAATTAATTAATTAATTAATTGATAACATTAATATTATTTATAATAAAATAATTATAATTATAATTAATTTTTTTTAACAGGTTAGAATAAGTTTTAAAGATACAACTCATGAACATTTAGTTCAACGATTGAGTATTTTTCCTGGAATTAGTAATCTCTCTGTAAATGGATTTTATGATTGGTTACCTCTTGATTCTACTACAATTCAATGTATGCATCCTCGTCCAGCAACAGAATCAACCACCACCACATCATCTACAAGATCATCATTAAAAGGAGGAGGATTAGGAGGTGGAAGAGGAGGAGTAGGAGGAGTAGGATTAGGAATTGGAGGAGGCGGAAGAGGAATAAGAGATGATGGGCCAATTCCAATTGAAGCAGTTGATAGAATGTTAGATCAAATAGATCATGGTGAAGAATTTAATGCTAGATCATGTTTACCATTAATCTTTCCCGGTACAACTTTAACTTCTAATGAAGATGATGGAACAAGTATTGTTTGGGGTGAAGATTCAATTAGAAATCTTTCTACAACAATTAATACGGTTAACTTTTTGATATTTGCGAGTGCCAAAAAATTCGTACATAAAGTAATAATAATTATTTATTTATTTATTTGATTATTTATTTATTATTATTCATTTATTTATTCATTTATTTATTATTATTTTTATTTATTTTTATTAAATGAATTAACGAGAATTAATTTAACTTTATTTTTTTTTTATTTTTAAAATAATTTATAGGGAAGAGATAGTTTTCTTGTACTTGTCGTAAGAATTTTAAATACTTTGAAAAGCATTCCAATACTTGGTAAAACGATTATGAATATTGAAGAATCAATAGGTGGTAAAATTGGTGGAAATTTCTTTAAGGAATATTATCAAAATTTAGATCAACTTTTAATTGAATTGGAACAAGCATTAGGAGAAATAATTATATCTTTGACTGAAGGTCGATACGATAAATTAAATGGTAAAATTTTTATTTATTATTTTATTAATATCATTTATTAATATCAATAATATATATTTATTTATCTATTATCTATTAATACTAATAATATTATCATCATCATCATAATTATTATTATTATTATGATTTGGTAGATCATTTTCGTCAAATTAAAGATGTGATTTCTCGTATACTTTTAATTGTTAAAGCAAGTAATAAAGAATTAGATGCATTAACTGAATATGTTTCAAAGATGAAAAATAGAAAAGAATATACAGATATTGTTTTTAAAGGAGCAATAGCGTAAGTAATTATTATTTATTATAATTTATATATTTTTATTTATTTTTTATTTATTTTTTATTTATTTTTTATTTATTTTAAAGTGGAGTAGCCGTTTCTGCAGGGATAATGAGTACCTTTGTGTTGAATCCTACTAATATAGCGAAAAGATTTTTATTTTCGGTGAGCAAAAATATATTAAATTATAATTTATTAATTAAATTATTACTTTTATTATTATAATCATTAATAAAATAATTTTATATAAATGTTTATTTTTATTTTTATTTTTTTTTTTTAATTTATAGAGAACCGCAGCCTTATTAAGTACACTCGGATTTGCTAGTATCAGTGGTGCAGCGTATTTACTTAGTAATCATTATAAGAAAAATATAGCTCGTTATGAACAAGCACAAAATAATTTAGAAAGGTTAGAAAAATTATTAACTAGAATGGAAAATTCAAATGATTATTATTTTTATTTAAATGATAATCAATATCCCGGTAAAGCCGAAATTTTGATTGACCTTCTTAATGAATTTAAAGATGAAATTTGTAAAATACGTCTTCCAAATGAATTTCCAACGTCTTCTATTACTATTTCTACTTCTTATACTACTACTAATAATAATATTCATGAAAATTAGAATTATTCATAATAATAATATACTCTCTCTTTTTTTTTAATACATTTCTTTCTCACTATTTGTCTCTTTTACTATAATAATATATATCTTTTATGTTATGTATATATAGAAATTTAATTTCGTTCGTTTTTTCCCAAAGGAATACGTCATAATTTAATTTATAATTACATAATGATATTATTGATATTAATAATTGGGTTATTAGGTTACACTAATGCATATATTATGAATAATATAATTTTATATATTCAGATTTTATTTGTTTTCAAAAGTTTCACAATTGTTATTTGTTAAATCACCTTATACATTCATTCATTCAAGGTTACATTAAAAAATTAACAAAACAATTTTTTGGTCATTTTGTTATTAGGTCACTTGATCAATGATGTAATTGATGTAACTGATGAATACATCTATCATAAGACTAATTAATTAATTAATTAATGACACAATGTTTTAATGTTGTGTTGTACATTTAACATTGTGAATTTTATTATTTAGTAATTTGAATCAATTTGAATTATTAAACATTGTATTATTTACGTATTAAAAATTTTAAATAATGAGATATATATATATATTATATAAATGACATGCTTATTACTATTATTATTATTATTACTACCTAAGCAATATATTTGGATATTCAAAAAAAAAATTTTTTTAATTTGTCCAAAATCAAGAAATTTATTTTTCTAATAAAGAAAAAAGAGAAAATCAGTTGTTTAATATTTTTTTAAAAAAAAAGCTTAAAGAATAAAAAATTTACTGGTTGTTTGTGTGAGAAAGAGAGAGAGCGAGAGGATGTTCATTCAAATTTATAGAGAGATATAGAGAACATATTCATATTTTTATATTTTTTATATTTATATATATATATATATATTTTATAGAATTATTTCCGAAATCCCATCAATTACTTCGGTAGAAGTTTCTAAAGGGGATAAAGGTATATTTTGAAGATTTTGAATATTCTGAAGATTTGGAATAGTATTAGAAATGTGATGTGATTGAGGATATATTCCTATTGACATTCCTGGCATTCCTGGTATCCCTTGTTGCCCTGGTTGCTGTTGTTGTTGTTGTTGCTGCACATTACTATTACCACTTCCATTATCTTGATTATCATCTATTCCTTTTTGCCTTTGATGTTCTATGAATATAGTGTTAATGGCAATAATGTCTTTGGTAAGTTCTCGTTCATTAGAGATTGATTCATTAAAGATCACTACAAGTTTTACATTATGAACTGAAAAAATTTGTTGAAATAGATCAAATGCAAAACGACAGAGCCTATCACGATGAGTAATTACAACTTCTGAAACGAGACCTCGACAAGCGTAATCTAATAAATGTTTAAGTCCCGGTCTTTTAAAGTTTACACCCGAACCGATATCACTAATAAGTTCATAAGTAGGAAATCGTGAAAGTAAATGTTGTTTTTGTTGTTCGAGATCTTCTTTTTGCTTAGCATTAGATACGCGCGCATAAAGGAATCCATTTCTAGGTCTCGCATTATTAGTAATAGTATTATTGGGATTATTGGTGGTATTATTGATATTATTGGTATTGGCAAGGTTACTTCTACCTCCTCCACCACTACCACCATTATTAGTTGCTAATTCGGGGAATAGGGATGAAAGATCGTAAAGACGCGTTCCGGAAGGTGACGTGGTTGCAGATATTTTTCCTTGTTTAAGCCAACGGCGTAATGTATCAGACGAAACGCCAAGTTTCTTGGTTGCCTTATGAGCCGAAAGATGCATTTTACTTATTTGACTATTTTAGACTAAAATTAAATGAATTATATAATTGAATGAATTCAGTGAATTGAATCAAATTGAATGAATTGAATGAATTTGTTAGATATAAAATATTTCTTATATATTTGTTTATCTTATATGTTAATATTGTGAATAAAATATAGAAATTATTCAGATTGTGAATGAATCAGTGTTCGAATTTTATTAAATTTGAATTTTATGAATTTTATGAATTTTATGAATTTTATCGAAAGGAAAACAAAGAAAACACTAGAGTATTTAAATCGAATCGTAAAAATAATTGGTCGAATTTTTTTTTTTTTAAACTTGGAAAATTAATTTTTTTTTTCAACGAAAAATTTTTTCTAAACGATGGAAGAGATGGGATGTGCCTTATATATAAATCTCAATGTTTCGCATTACTAAGCAATAAGATCATAAGGCAGTACTAAGAAATACAAAAGTTATTAAGTAACAGTATGTAAATGTTATTTTTAATCTTAAGAATTACTAATCATGTTAATCACAATAAGTATTACTAAGCAGCCACCCGGGATAAATTGTACCAACTTCCATAAAGGATAAAAACTTTATCCGAATCCGTGAAAATTAAAAAAATGATATAAATATGACCAGATAAAAATTATCAAAAAAAAAAATAAATCTCAAAGGAAAATTTTAAAATTTTAAAATTTCAAAGGATGGAATCTCCAAATGACTTTGAACTTATTGAAACTCCTACTACTACTATTTTATTATCAGAGGAAGTAGAGGTAGAGGAGAAGGAAATATCACACGAAATTATTGAATCTGCTACTACCGCATTGGAAAATATGCAAATTCAGGAAAAAAGAGAAAATGAAGAAAATGAAGAAAGTAGTAACGATAGTAATAATGGTAAAAGTAATAATAGCAATAAAATGCAAATCGGGGAAGTGGAAATACCGGAAATACAAGAAAAACATGATTCAGAAATTTATTTTATAATTGATCGTCATGATCATCATTATCATTATCATCATCATCACAGAGGATTGCATAGGCATCATTATGGTCTTCTTAATAATAAAAGAAATCATCATAATAGAAGAAAAGTAATAATTGGAAAAAATCATCATCATCATCATCATCATCATCATGATGGAAAAACAAGACATTATATTAGAATGATGAATGGAAAAGGAAGAAGAAATATTACTACCACCACCACTACTGAATTACTGGATTCAGATAATGTTGATAAAATTGATAAAATTGATAAAATTGTGGAAATTCAAAAATTGAAACGTTATCATAATAAGAATGGAATAATCAAAGGTTCATTACATCATCATCATCATCATCATCATTGTCCTCGCGGTATTAATAGACATTTACATAAGCATCATATTAATAATAATAATAATAATATTGATGATGATGAAAGTATGAGGCGAGAAATTGGTCATCATGGTGGACATCATTTTCGTAGACATCATAGTGTTTAAAAAATGAATTCATTATTATTTATTATTTATAATTATTTATTATTCCAAAAAATTCAAGAAAATTATGAGAAAATAAATAAAAAAAAAAATAGCATATATTATGTAAAAATATACAATATAATAATTTAATAAAAAAATATTGAATTATGAAAATGTTTTTTTTTTTTTGATAATTAAAAAAATGAGTACCCATTTATTTTGATTTTTTTTACAATTATTTATTTTCTCTCTTAATCACTCTAACCACTCTCTTTAATCATCTAACCACTCTCTAGGAACGAATGTCCAAATCGTTCCTAAAATTCCCATCATTGAACTAATCACCAAGATAAACAAATTCAACATAATTTCATTTTTAGATAAAGTTCTACCAAATATTTTTAAATAACATAATAATGGAAATATTAAGCAGATTAGGAATGAAAATAATGAACCGAGTAATGACTAATAAAAAAAAATAAATTGTGTTAATAAAATAATAATTTTTTCTTTCTTTAACACATATAAATTATTTCTTTAAATAAAAATGATTCGTCATCTTACCACAGCACGATCAAATTTAGGAAATAATACAGCCGTAATCACGATAAGAAAACTAACAAACGTTCTTGACGCAAACATAAAAAATGTTTTGATTATTTGCGATCCAAATAAAATACGCACATGAGAAATATTAAAGAACACTTCAACACTTAAATTAATTGGTGTCAATACGAGAGGATATTTAGAGATTGGATTTATCACTGTTAACCAGACCACAATAGAATTTAAAAGTAAACTATAACCGGATGTTACCATAAGATTTTGCGTAATCTGAATGCATTATTAAAATAAAATAAAAACATGAGATAATAAAAGATAGAAAAAAAAAAATAATAATAAATCCGAGACAATAAAAGGTAATTTAAATAAAAAAAAAAAAAATAATAATAATAATAATAATAAATAATATTACTTCTTGCATGGTTTGTGATCCAAACATTAAATATCCACTCGCGGCTACAGTAAAATAAAAAATGCTGGTGATAGAATAACTTAAATTCACCATTTTTCTATAATCATTTGGTTTTGCCATATCTCTATATAACGAAGGAAATATTGCATGACCCGAAAATCCGGCATTAATAATTCCGAAGGCTAATGGTACTGAAATCCATTTCTGTGGCCAAAGATATGTATCCATTGGTTGTATTAAACTTCCTGGTGAGTTTAACTTGGTAAATCCATCAATTAATAATACTAAAGTTAAAGCCGCTGTTGCAATTACACCAAAAATTGATGTATAAGAGAGGTAACGAATTGGCAACCACGTTATTGGTGTGATTATGAAGAACACGATAAATTTTAATTGGATTAAATCAGATTGGGGAAAAAGTGTCTTGAGCGAGTCGCTCGTCAATATCAAAAAGGCGACGCTTTTTTTTTGTATTGTTTTTATATGGTTTATATTGTTTTTTTTTTTTTTGTAATGTTTGTAAGAAAATAAGACTTTTATCTTATATTTTTAAAGTAAAAAAAAAAAATCGAAATATTTATTAATACTTACGAGGCATTATATAAATCCATTAGAAATATGGTCCCTATAAAATATTTTCCTTTATTTCCGTAAGCTAAATAGGCAAGATCCACATATGAATGACATGTTCGGTCTACATCTAAGCAATTTTTTAGAATTTTTGCAGTATAATTTGTTGATATCAAACAAAATAAAAATATTGAAATTCCAATAATCCATCCCGTATGTTTGAAAGCGAAAGGTAATGCAAGAATTCCAATTCCCATTAAGACATTCTATATTTTAAAATATTTTGAATAAAAATATTTAAAAAACATTTAAGTACTTTAAATAAACTCTTTTTACAAAGTACCATTATCAAAATATTATTTTAACTTACAACAGCATTGAAAGTTGTTTGATTTAATGTAGATTTTCCAAGATCCATTAAACTTTTATAATTACTTGCATCTTCCATTACCGAAGTACGATGAATCAATGGCGTTCGTTCTGTTTCGATTGTTACTGTGCCACCAGTATCAGATTCAATACTATTTATATTTGAATCTTCGGAAAGACGACGAGATGGAGCGTACACTTCAATCCGATTTCCTAAATTTGTACCTGAATATTTTTGACTTCTCGAATATGATGATACCCATGATTTTACTGAAGTGGGAAAATTAAAATGAAGATTTTTAATATTTTTACTGCCAATGTTTAGGTTTTCGTCACAAGTTATATTATTATCATTATTATCATTATTATCATCAGTTTCGTTATTGTTTGAAGTATTAGAAGATGTACGATGATCTTTATAATCTTTAGGATCCATTTTTATAGTATATTTTATATTTTATAAATTGGACTTATAAAAGCGAACTATTCTCTCGATTTTTTTTATTGAAAACGAACGAATTTTATTTATATAAACTGATAGGGAAATATCTGGATAACGTGGGAAAGTGTTAATATTCAAAGACTTGTTTAAAAACGTAAGCATTCAAATCAACTTTTATGTCCGTAGTCTTTGTACAAAATGATGATTATATATATATATTTTTAAGGTAGTACGAAGTATTAATAAGCGATCTTCTCAATAATCGTAGGAGACAAAAGATCGTCGGAAGAGAAGTACAGTATAATCTCTATAACTACAATTTATTTTTTAATTACTATTGTTTATTAATAAATATTTATAGATATCGTGTATCATTTATTATTAGTCAAAGTTCGCATGCGCAACAATATCACTTACTAAAAATAACTTTTTTTTTAAAAGCAAATGCATCTTTTATTGGCGTGTTGTGTTTAAATCATAAATTCGATAGAGTTCAAAAAATGAACAAACGAAAAATCTAATTAAACTGATGAATGCAATTATAAAATCCGAAAATTAAAAAAAAAAAATTCAAAGTTGAAATACGAAGCACAACAAATGAAACCATAGTTATTTATACCGTTCAAATAAACTTGAAAATAAAAGAATAAAATATTAGACGAAAGATATTACATTCGTTCAAAATCAAAGTCTGGCTATTATTTAAAATTTGCACTATTTTATTTATTTAGTGAAATTGTGAACTACATAATACTAACAGCTGCTGAATTAATTAAAATTCATAAGAACATGTTAAAATTTATCTAACACGAATATAATACAATATATTTTTTATTTAAATCATTGAATGGACGTGATAGTATTATATAACGAAATATATAGAAATATTCAGCTTACATCGAGTACACTTATGCCAAATATTTTAATATTATTCATCTGTTAGTTCTTTGATCGTTCATTTGTTAGTGATCTGATATCATAATGTGATCATAAATTAGATAAATAAAACGTTAGCAATAGATCAAGAATTAGTTGTTCTTATAATTCATAAATATATGAATTATTCAATTTTAAGTATTATCATCACTTCCAGACATTCTAAGAACTGTTACTCTTTTTTTGTAAATAATAAAAGCTACAATTAAAATTAGAACAATAACTATACCACCACCAGTTGCAGGTCCAATCACTAAAGCTTTTGGTGATGATTTTTTTGTTGGATTATTAATATTATTAATAATAACAGGAGTATTTCTTGTTACATCTGAATTATATGTGGAATTCGCCAATGTACTATTTCCTAAAAAATTTAAATAAATTAAAAAAAAATGACTATACATTAAAATATACTTACCAATTAAAGAACCAAATGTAACTCTATCATATAATTGTAATATAAATTTGATCCATGTCCAGTCATGGATGGTAGTGAATTGATTTTGGAACTTTCGGGAATGGACCATTCAAAAGGAGATTTATTTGTATCTAACACAGCAAGGTTTGGGCTGACAGAGTTGACAATACTAAATTCCCCTTCAAATGTACAACCTCCAAATATAACAATATACTTATCTGGTGTTATATAAAATATTAAAGTATTTTAATTTAAATTTTATGTTTTAAAGATAAAAAATAATTTAAATGAATTGGACACTTACTTAACGCAGAAGTAAAAAACCACTTCGAATCAACAGTTTCATCAGCGGCATTCTTAAAATAAAGCATATTATATTTATTTAGTTAAAATATTTTATATATTTTATAATTCATATCGAATACATACCATTTGTGACCACTCATATTTTTTAGTATCGAAAAGTCTAATCTATTTGAAAATAGTAAAGAATTAATATCAATATTTATAAAAATAATTTATTTATTTAACATTATTTACATTTATAGCAGTTGTATTTGTAGAATCAGCCAAATATTCGAATCCACCAATATAACCAATAATTCCATTTGATAAAATATTAGTTGAATAACCAGCACATCCTGAAGCTAGATTTTCGGATATGCTTAAAGTTGTCCAAGTCATTGTAGTGGTATTTAATGTGTTCATATCATTGTAAAATGTTCCTATAAATTCTGATTCTGTTATATTAGTGGTATTATATCCACTATATATAATTCCTAAACTATCAATTACTCCCATTTTTTAGTAGGATAGTTATGCATAAACTAGGTCTGAAAAATCCAAATCTTTTTTTTTTTTTATTCTTTATGAATCCTCTAATTAAAAATACTGTAGAACTATCTAAACTAACGCTAGCAGTTGAAAATGATGTAGATATGGGAAGATTCCCTTCAGGGTTTAAATTCCATGATAAGTTTGTATTATCAAATGACTTAAACAAATCCAAATAAAATAATTCATATGCAGATGGACCTTTTATTCCACCAAATATTAAGAGTTGATTACTAATAAGAAAATGAAAAAAAAATGATCGATTTTTATAAAAATTTTCATGAAATCTTGAGTAGTACATATTATTCTAAGAACTGTATACTTTGCATCCCTTGTTTCGTAAGTAATAAAAACTATAATTAAAATTATAATAATTGTTATTTGCAACATCATAAATATATACTTTGAATCGGAATCTTCGAAGTCATTTTCTAAAAAAAAAAAAAAATTTGAATTAAATATTAATTCCAATATATTACCTAAGAATATAGAAAAGCAGTATTAATAAATTTTCACAATAAAATAATGATTATTTAGATTATATTCAATTTTTTAAAATTACATATTTGTTATTACCTAAAGTATAAATTAAATACAGTCGACTCTATAAATGCACCCTCCGAGCAATGAGGTGCATTTATAAAAATTTCTTTTCGTATTAGGTATTTTATTATTTATGTCATATTTATTTAATTATTTAATTATCATTATATATTATTGATTTGAAAAAAAAACTCATTTTGATGGCAATTAAATATAATATCACTTTAACTATTGATAAAAACTGATCTCAAATTTACCTTTCGCGCAGATCGATGAAATGAAATTTTAAATAAGATTATCGATTTTCAATCTATTGAACAAAAATATCACTAAGCAAAAGAGATATGATAAATAAAACTTTATATATGGAAAGGAAATAATATCATATAAAATAAGCTAACTACTGCCTGCACTATTTCCTTTACTATCATCGTTTTAACAACAACTATTATTTAAATTCAATTTTATAATAAATCAAATATGAAAATTTTTTTGTTATTTTGGTTAGAGTGGTATACTTGATAATTAATCTGACATTACTTGTCAACATGAACAAAACGATTTAAAAATATTAGCTCAAAGAAAAAGGTTTATCAAATATTTTTCCTTAATTAATGACAAAACTGAAGAATGAAATTATAATATATCCGAAAATTAAAAATATAAAGTTGAAAACACAACAAATAAATCATAATTATTTATACCATTTTTTGTGAGAAAATTTTATGAGAAAATAAAAGACAAAATATTAAACTAAAATATTGCATTCGTTCAAAATCAAGATCCGACTATTATTTAAAATTTATTTATTTAGTGAAATTGCGAATTCTGTTAAATTAATTAAAATTTATGACAATCAAATAATAATTTAAAATACATATAGAATGCATATTACATACTTAGAGTACATTAATGTTAAATATATTTAATACTATTCATTAAAAAAGTTCCGTTGGTTCATTCGTTAAGTCATTGTGATCGACTAATACCTAAAAAAAAAGAAAAAGGTACTTCATATATAATAATATACGATCATAAATTATACCAGCTAGATAAAGAAATATTTAGCCTAGATCAAGAATTAGTTGTTCTTTTATACTCTATAATTATCATCAGTTCCAGATATTTTAATCACTTTTTCACTTTTTTTTCTTTTTTTGAAAATAATAAAAGCTACAATTAAAATTAGAACAATAACCGCGCCACCACCAGTTGCAAGCCCAATCACTAAAACCTTTGATGGTGACTTTTTGGTTGAATTATTAATAATAACAGGAGCATTAAAATTTGTAACCCATTTATTACTTGTTACATCATAAAGATATACATCAGGATTATATGTAGAATTTATCCATGTACCATTTCCTAAAAAATTTAAATAAAATGTCATTAATTAAATTAAAAAAAATGATTAATTATTAAAATCTACTTACCAAGTATAAAACCAAATGTAACTATCATATAATTATAATATAAATTCGCTTCATGTCCACATATGGATGGTGGAGAATTTATTTTGGAACTTTCAGGAATGGACCATTCAAAAGGAGATTTATTTGTATCTAACATAGCAAGGGTAGGGCTAACGGAGTAGACATTACTAAATTCTTCTTCAAATGTACAACCTCCAAGTATAATAATATATCCATCTGGTGCTATATAAAATATTTAATGTAATTTTAATTTAAATTTTATGTTTTAAAGATAAAAAATGATTTAAATAAATTAGACACTTACTTAACACAGAAGTAAAAAACCACCTTGGATCAACAGTTTCACCAATGGCATTCTTAAAATTATGCATATTATATTATTTAGTTAAAATATTTTATACATTTTATAATTCATATCGAATACTTACCATTTGTGACCACTCATATTTTTTAGTATCGAAAAGTCTAATCTATTTTAGAAAGAATAGTAAAGATTAAATATCATTATAAAAATAATTTATTTATTTAAATTACTTACATGATTTATATTTATAGCAGTGTTTGTAGTAGTACCAGCCAAATATTCGAATCCACCAATATAAACAATAATTCCATTTGATAAAATATTAGCTGAATAACCAGCACATCGTGAAGGAAGATTTTCGGATATACTTAAAGTTGACCAAGTCATTGTAGTGGTATTTAATGTATTCATATCGTTGTAAAATGTTCCTATATATTCTGTTTCCGTTGCGTCAGTGGCATTATATCCACCAAATATATATATAATTCCTAAACTATCAATTACTGCTCTCGTAACCTGTCTGGGAGGAACATCACTACCAGCAATTGATGGTGTATCCCATTTTTTAGAAAGATAATTATATGTGTAGACTTGGGATGAATAATCATATTCTCTTTTTTTATTCAACATGAATCCTCCAATTAAAAATACTGTAGAATTATCTAAACTAACGCTAGCAGTTGAAAGTGAAATACATATGTCAAGATTCCCTTCTGGAATTAAATTCCATGATAAGTTTGTTTTATCAAATGACGTTAACAAATCCAAATAAAATAATTCATATGGTGCTGCATATTTATTTTCAGATTCGGTTTTTATTCCGCCAAATACCAAGAGTCGATTATCGATTATTACACTATTATGATTGGCTCTTTCTCGTGGTTGGTAGCATAAAATATGATTTATAAATAAGAAAATGCAAAAAATGAATTTGAGAGGGAGATACATGTTTTATGAATTCTATACATTTTTTTATTATCTTTCCTTTATTATAAAAAAAAATTAGTGTCACCCAATAAATCCAACAAGTTCATGAAATCTTGAATAGAACAAATAACGTTTTTAAACAGCGATCAAGCTTTTGAACTGATCAATGATACCCAAATATAGTAGTCATTGACACAATGATTTCGTCAATGAGTGAACTTACTTTGTATTTATCGTTGGACAAAGAGATTTAATATGATATGAATATAATAATAATTTAAATATATTAAGAATTCAAAAATTTTTTTATATATAATTTGCAAATAATATACGTATACATTTTTGCTTTCAGAATTATATCTTTAGCATTTCTTGTTTTGCAATTAATAAAAACTGCAATTAAAATAATTATAATAACAATGAATTCACCAATAAAGACTTTTCGATAAAGGGGTGTCATATTATTAGTAACGTGAGGTTAAAACTTATAACCTATGTGTTATCATAAAGATATACTTTTGAAGTCATTTCCTAAAATTAAAATATTATCAATTAAAAAAGTATAAATCGAAAATCTATTTACAACCATGATTTTTTATTTTTTGTTTTTTTATGTACATATTTATTTGAATAAAGTAGTGTTACTTGAACAATTCTCTTTTGTAAATAATCATACGATAATGATTTTCGCGAGATGACACAAAAATCATTATTATTATTTATAAACAAACAAAACAATGTAAGGATGGGAATGAAAAAAAAATTCCTAATTTAAGTACAATTTTATTGTATTGAAAATACAAGAACAACATGCTTTTTCAACACCAAAATATTCCCTCAAAAATAAATAATGAATATGACTTAGAAAAAGAAGGCAACTTTTTTTTCGTATTGTTTTATCTTGTTTTATAATTTTCGTAAGAAAATAATACTTTTATCCAACAATTTTTTTTATATTTTTAAAGAAATCCATTCTGAATTTTGAAAACGAAAGGTATCGTAAGAATTTCAATTCCCATTAAAATATTCTTTATTTAAATTATTTTGATAAACATTTAGATACCATCATCAAATATTTTTTAATTTTCATTTTTTATATCATATTTATTCTATATTTTATAAATTGGGCTTATCTATTCTCTCGATTTTTTATTGAAAATGAGCGAAATTATGTTTTCGTTTATATAAACTGATGAGGAACGCGTTAACGTAATTCAAAGACTTTAGAAAACGGCGAGGGATGTGTGTATAGTATAAATATCTTTAGTTATATATTTTTTTAAGGTAATACATAACGATGATAAATAAATAAGAAGACAAAATTGTCGGAAGTTAATTTCAATACATTATATCGTATCAGTCATGTGAAATGTTAGACTTAAATTTGAGTATAACTATAATTTTAATCTTTAGAATATTGAAAGTTGAATAATAAAATTAATTCATAAAAAATAATTCCCTTTTCAATACCAAATTATTTTTATATATTTTATAGAGCTATATAAGCACTAACTTTTTGCAAAATTTGAAAGCTCGATATTTGATATTGAAAAAGGATCTTAACATAAAGTGATTTTGAAAGTATAATATTCAAAAATTAATAGCTCAAGAAAAAAACAAAATAAATGATTAAAAGTCTTTTAAAACTTATAATTTGAAAGATTCAAAAATTCTATTTTAAGTTTGATATATTGAAAGTTAAATAAGACTTGAAAAATTGCTTCGTCTGATTGCACAAGAATTTTAACATGAGCAAAAAATTTTATTAGTTCAAAAAAGTTTGTCAAAATGATAAATTGATGATAAAACTGAAGTATAAAATATCCGAAAATTTAAAAAATATAAAGTCGAAAACACAATATAATTATTTATATCATTTTTATGAGAAAATAGAAGAATAAAATACTGAACAAAGATATTGCATTCGTTCAAAATCAAGATCCGACTATTTAAATTTTACAATATTTTATTTATTTAATGAAATTACGAACTAACACACAATGCCAATAGCTATTAAATTAATCATATTATAATGATAAGTAAATAATAATTTAAAATAAATGAATTGTTCTAACTTCTAATCTGAAAATATGTTTAAATTTATCTAATGTAATGTATTTTTGTTTAATCATAGAATAAACGTGATAACTTTATAACAGAATATATATAGAATACTTAGAGTACACTTATTATAAATATTTTATTATTAATTAAAAAAGTTCTGTTAGTCTTTGATCATTCAATTGTTAAGCCATTGTGAGAAAAATAAAAAAAAAAAAAGGTAAATAAATTATACCAAGGTTGATAATGAAAACATTCTAGATAAGAAATAGCTATTCTTTATAATCCATAATTCATAAATATATGAATTATTCAATTTAGGTATTATCACGCACTCCCAGACATTCTAAGAACTTTTTCTCTTTTTTTTGTAAATAATAAAAGCCACAATTACAATTAAAACTGGAACAATAACTGCACCACCACCAGTTGCAATAAAGCTTTTGATGATAATTTTTTTGTTGGATTATTAATAATAACAGGAGAGTTAAAACTTGTAACTTGTTATATCATAAAGATATATTTTTGATTATATAATTGAACATCTACGTCAAATCCTAAAAAAAAAAAATTATTAATATAATGAAAAAATATTATTGTAAATATTTAAAATCTACTTACAAAATGTAATTATCATATAATCAGAATGTAAATTTGCGGTGTCCCCAGATGGATGGCGGAGAATTATAATTGTCTTCGGAATAAATGAAATAGACCGTTTATAAGTGTTTGTTTATAATATGACAAGATTTGGGCTAAACTAGTATTATCAAGCTTACAGCCCTCAAATATAATAATGTGCTATAGAAAATATTTATTTTCATATAATTTTTTTAATTAATTAAAACAATAAAAAATTTAAATAATTAAATACTATAAACAACAGTCTCAATCTTAAAATCAAAATAAATAAGTTTATATTTTGTTATAATATAATATTTTTGAAAACAATTATATTTAAATTACTTACATTATTCATATTTACAAAAGTTAAACTTGCAAATTCGTTTAACTTTTCCATCATATAATACACTAGAACATTGCGTTTTAATATGTTATAAATACGAAATGTTTAAATAATGCACTAGAACGTCGTTACTATTTTTTTTTTCTTCTCTTCTTATCCACTCCACCGATATAAACAATAACTCCACTTGGTAAAATATTAGCTGTAATCTGTTTATCACTGAATTACACAAATAATTAACAATGTAAAATAAAAGAATTTAATATAAAAATGTTCCGCTTTTTTTCATTGTAGTTGAGGACAAATTAATTTTATTATAAAGAATAAACAATAGAGTCAATGAGTCATCAGCAGCTGAGTCTGAGGCGATCTTTTTACACGTTGTTTCGTGACAATAAATGTACCTTTATTTTTATTTGTCTAATTTTAGTTATTTTACTGAAAGTTTGTAAGTAAAAGGATATTAATTTAGCTTTCTTTTAACAAATAAACATTTCTGTTCTTTTTCTCAACCAATGTCAAGCTTTTATCAAAATAGAATATATTCAACAGTAACGATGACATATATTTTATTGATTCAGATATTTTAAATAGAAATTTAGCAAACAAGATTTTAATACAGAAAGTAGAGTTTAAATATTTAAACTAAAAATGTAATTTATTTGAGAATGGTTAGCACCTGCAACTAATTTTACAAATCCTTAATATTGCAAATTTTTGAATGTAATTGCAGAAAATCCATAATTTCGCAATAGTTGCAGAATTTGTTTCAAAAATTTTTACAGAATTAGAATCCACAGATTTTCTCTTAAAAACGATAGTTTTTTTTTTTATCTTGATCGGACGGGAGAAGTATTATTAATATAAATTTTTTAGAATGAAATTAAAATATAAAACCATTGTATTTGTATTATTAAACTCACTTATCAAGGTGATCATTTGATAATTGTTTTATTCAAAATGAATTGAATTATTTTATCTCAAGGTATTATTTTAATTTTAAACTTGTAGATTAATTATATATTAAATTAATGATGTTGAAATAATTTTTTAGGATTTCTTCGTTGTTGTTAGAACTTTTCATACTATTTATTCTTGTGAAATATTGGCAATTGAGCTTGCAATTGTTTCATAATTCATATTAGTATCGCTTTCCAGAATTAAAATTTCTTATGGTGTATTTTCGGCTAAAATGTAACACATGTTGCTATCCACCATAATGACCTCTTCACTGTTTCTACTGCGCTTGAAGGTTTGAAGTAGTTTGTGTCTTTACTGGATTTTGGTTGTGTACAGTGAGTTTTCATTATATATTTAATTTTACAAAGGTAAATATTATTTTATGACATAAAATAAATATGTTTAATATTGAATATAATACTTTCCCTTTTAAACTTACTAACCATTTTTCGCAAAATTAAAAAAATAACAAACGATTCTTCGTTTAGTTGAATATGTCAGATATGATAATTATACTTGTAAGAAATTGACAACAGTTGATTTTTTTTAATAATAAAATGTCTAATTATGAATTTATTAGTTACTACAATTACATAAAATGGAAATAATTAAAATTTAAAACTATAATTCACAATTTTTTATTAATATAATTGTGTTTTCTGCTCCCTGCTATTTCAAGAATAACTGATGTCCGTCGTCGAATTTTACGAACAATAAATATTGTACATCAGTAAATCTAATATTACGGCACTTATACGGCCGTTTTTACTTTAAACGAGAATACCTCAGCGGATATCGGTGATGGATGGATATAACTCATATCATCTTGTAACCCAGAATGAAGGCTTTCGATCGGTAATAAGAACACTTTAATCAAAAATTCCTTCATGTCTCACAAATCGCGATCGAAGTCATTAAAAATGATTTTTTTTTGGCGCAAAAATTCCCTTTTTTTGCGATTTGTGAGACCGATAATATACGGATTTTTATAAATCCCTAATTATCGCACGCCATGAAAATAGTCTAAGAAAATCATGGGTGTTAGGTCCCGTGATATAAGCGAATCCACATATTTTTAGAGTGGTATACTCGCGAGAATTCATTTCTCCGGATTGTACTATTTTTATGGCTATATATGTATTACAAGAAAGATTATTACAAGATTATTATTAATAAGAAAAGAAGTTATTTATAAAGAAATAAAGGAGGTACTTTACTCTTTATTTAATTCTTCAATTTTCTCCTGACACATCACCAAAACAACTTTGGCCTTTTTAAATAAAAATTAAAAAAATATAATATTATAAAATGTAATAGTTTACAAAAATTAAAAAGATATCAAAAAGATCATAAAATTTACCAAACCAGAGATTACTAAAGTTTTAAGCATCAATTCTTGTTTTTTTTATAATGTAATTCATTTTTTATTAATTTTTATTAATCGTTAATGGAAACCCTTTAAGTCTATCACAGGGTATATTCATGCCCTAATATGATTGTATTATATTAATTTACCCCAGTTTATTATAATAAATTATAAGTACAAATGATCGTCGTAATATGATTTAGGCATTGTTAAATCTTTTCATTGTTTCCAAATTTGGTTGGTGAACAAAAATTTAAAACTGTACGCATATACAGTATTTATATTTATATATTACAAAGAAATTATTAATGTTCATTTTCGATTTATTAAGATCTCGGAAACGATACCAATTTTTTTTTTTTTTTTGATTTTTTTCTAAAAAACCTAACCTTTAGAAATTTATATTATTTTATATATTTAAAACATGTATTTTCCACTTAAATCTATTTTTTTCACTTTATTATTATTATTAAATTCAATACTATGCTATAAACCACTCAACAGATACCTTCATAATAGTGTAATAATCGATAATCGCCTCTTAATACTTGGCGGTTTTACAAATACAACTGGATCATATGAATTATTCTATTTAAATTTATTAAAACCATTTGATAATAATAACTTAACGTGGACTTTAATTCCTGATGGAAATCTTACTGTATATGTATATCGGTCAACTTCTATTTTAAGTATGGACAATTCTACAATTTATTTAATCGGAGGAGTCAAGACGAATCAAAATGGATATTATGATTTTTCCAAACCATTCTACACATATAATTATTCTATTAATAAATGGGATGCACCAAAAATTATTGGTAATGAAGTTCCTATTAGACAGAGTATAGAAGGAGTAATTGATAAATTCGGAGTTATATATTTATTTGGCGGATATAATGTCACCAATTATACGTCTATTACTGGAGACCTTTACAGTGATATGTATACATTTAGTACTGTCTCAATGACTTGGACAACTTTGAGTGCATCCGGAGATATTCCTATACCGTGTTCTGGATATACCGCTAATATTTTACCAAATGGATATATTGTTTATATCGGTGGAGTGGAACAAAATGCCTTTAAGATAAATTTCATTCTTGTAAAAATAAATAATGTAAGCAATTTAAATATTAAGTTATTTACATAGTATAAATATTTTAATATATTAAAATTTATAATTCTTTATTATTATATTATTCGCAAATAGATTAAACTCTTTAATACAAAAACATATAAATGGACGCAAATGGTATGTATTTTTTATTTTTTATTTTTTTTTTGATAATATTAATATATAAAAGCATTATAACAAAAATCAAATAAATAAAATATAAGAATAATTTGATAATAACACATATTTACGTATCTAATTTTAAAGAATGCAATTGGTGATAACGTTGATTCACGAATATCTCATAATTCAATATTAAGTAAATATTATTATTAAAATTATTTAAAATTATTTTTTTAATTTATTATTTTTTAATAATCAAATTTTATACAAAAATTTTTCATATAGCCCCAGACGGACATATTATTATATTTGGGGGTCGTACACAGGAATTTACTAGCGTTAGTCCAATCCTAGCTTTGTTAGATACGAACACATATCCATATGAATGGTCCATTCCTGGTAGTGCTAGTTTTAATTCCCCACCATCTATTTATGGAAGTACCGCAAATTTATATTATAATTATATGATAATTACATTTGGTAATTAGATTTTAAAATTCGATTCGATTATTTTTTTATATAAAATAATAACTAAAATTTATTTTATTTAATTTAATTAATTTTTTAGGACGCAATATTAATAACTTAGAATATAATTCAAAAGTTTACCTTTATGATATAAAAAGTAATGCATGGGTTACAAATTTTGTTCCTACTATTACCTCGACTACAAATAATAGTACAAATATTAATGCAGATTCTAACATGAATACAAAAAACGGATCAAAATCTTTAGCAATTGGGCTCGGATTTGCTGTTATAGCTATTATTATTATTATATTTTGTATTGCAATTTTTATTATTTATCGAAGAAAAAAACGGGTGGAGAGTAAGAAACCGGAAGAAACATCAGGGAGTGGGGAAGAAACAGTAGTGAATGCTGGAGAAATGGAAGAGAGATATATAGAAACAGAAGAGATTGCACCTAATACTTGCGATGAACCTCAAATTTTAGCAAATGACCTTGAAAATTGCCAACCCTACGATGAACAACGTTAATAAAAAAAATTATTATCGAAATTATTTGTTATATACTTTAGAAGTTTAGACTAAATTAATCAAAATTTTTATTAAAAAAAAATAATTGTTTTTCTACATCAATAAATTGCATCACTTATAACCTTGTATCAACATGCATGAAATTAAAATTTTATTAATCATTAATTAAGAGAACAAAATAATAATACAAAATGAAAGAAGGGATATGAAATTACAAATATTATTTAAAAAGCCAAATATTAATTTCTTTATAAATCTTATATAACAGTAAAAATTGCGACAATGAAAAAATTCCATCACAAACTAGTCGAGTAATTGATAATTGTCAACTTGAGAATTTTGATTTTGGCCTTTAAATAACGATTATTTAATATAAAAAAATAAAAAAACATAAATATAAACTATATATATAAATTACAAATCCATTATGTGTTTTTTATGTTGACTTTTTATCCAACTGTTCCCTAACAATGATTACAGTACAATGACAATTATGAATGCAATGATCACTCACAGAGCCGAGTAACATTCTAAAAAAATTTAATAAATAATTATTATTTATTTTTTTTTTTGATTAATCGTAATTTTAATAATGGAAAAAGTAATAAAACTAACCGTTTTATGGCTCCTAGACCACGAGATCCAAGAATTAAACCATCAGCATTTAATTCAGAAACTTTTCGAACAATTTCATCACGAGCATCTCCTCGCATAGCTATTGCTTTGAATGCAAACTAAAAATAAAATTCAAAAAATATATAAATATAAAAATAAATAAATAATAAGATAGATATATATAAATATTGATATAGAAAATATTACTTTTTCAGCCTTTAATTTTGACGCGAATTCATGTAGCAGAGTATGACTCTCTTGTCTTTGCTAAAATAATATTATTTAATTATAAAAAAAAAATAATTAAAAAAAAAAGAACATTAAAAAAAATATTATTATTAAATAATTTAATTTGAATAAATTTATATATACCTGATCTTCTAAAGTTTTAATAATTTCACTGAAATCCATATAACTGGCACCCATAGCTGTAAAAAAGATTATAATTTTTTTTTTTAATTTATTATTATTATTATTATCATTAATTTAGAATAACATGTATTAATCTTATTACCATACGGACCAGGAGTCATTGGAATTGGTCGAACATTTACTAATACAACCTTTTTATTAAAAAAAAATGGTATGATTTAAAATTTATAATAATTATTTATATTTATAAATACAAATATTGAGTTATTTTACCAACCAAATCAGATTCTTTTCTCAAAAAGTTCTTTACAGCCCAATCAAATGCAAATTGACTATAGTTTGATTGATCAATAGCAATTACCACAACACGAGTAATATTCGTATTTGGAGAGTCCGCATCATGATTAGTAGTGAGAATTGTATCTTCTGTTGTATATTGTTGTGTTTCAGTAGATGAAGACATTCTTTTCAGTATTTTAATATTTTAGTATTTAGTATTTTTAGTAGGAAGAGTGTTGTTGAAGAATTGGATATTGAAGAATTTACCCTTCCTTTATATATATTGAAAGAATTTGATTATCAGCTCATGAATTTGATTATCAGCTCATAAAATTCTCATGAAATCATGCCACAAAACAATAGCATGATTTTTACGCCAATTAAATGGTATGATTATGATCAAATACCAAAAAAGGAATTGCCAATTCATGAGGCCTATAAATATAAAAGATTAGAAATTACCTGTCAGCTAATTTGAAATTTGACAAAATAATTTATGTAATATTTGTTTCACACTATTATTTCGATTGTGATTTTAAATAATTAATTAATAATTAATTTACCATGTTCCAAATAGAAAAATTTGGCAAAAAATCGAGAAGTCAGCAGACAAGGATGAAACTTTATTGGAAAAATTGAAATTTTTTAGGATAATAATAAAACATAAATGCAAAAATTAAAGAGACGAGATCAAAATGTGAACAGGAAAAAATTCATTATTCCAGTGAAAATTTCAAAGAGAAAATACTTTTAAAATGGATGGACTTAATTCTTTGAAAAAGAAAAAGTTATCAGTTGCTACTTCCACTACTAGAACTATTTGATAAATGTATTAAGCAAAAGAACTTTTCTTGAAAATAAAGAAAAATATCATAGGATTATGAAGTCTGAAAATTTATCTTCATTGTAAAATATAGACTTGAGGAGTAAAATACTGCATACTTCAATTATAATACTTTTATTCACTCCTTTGCAGTGTTGAAATAGTGAATTATGCTTGTTTTAACTGGATCTCATCAAAAATACAAAAGAAATAAATAAAATTTTAGAAATTGTTATTCTCTATTTGTAGAAAATATATTATTCAAATAACTTGATCCTTTATTTTTCTTTATTTTTAAACAATTATTTTAATATTCAAAATGCATACAACAATTTAGATATTAATTATATTTTTTATAATAAAGACTTTAGTACATTTTTTTTATGTTAAACACTTTTAGAACATTTTGTTAAAGCATTAAATACCTAATAGACATTTAAGTTATATATTTACGTTACGTTGTACAAAGGGAAACTCGATAAGTCAGCCGCTTGATAAGTTGGCCACCTTTATAAGTCGGCCAATGATGGCCAGCTACTTTATTATTGTACTAATCTCGATAAGTTGGTTTTCGCGATAACTCAGCCAAAATGACCCAGCTATCAGTGGCTGACTTATCAAGTTTGCCTATGTATAATAAATATTGAACTATCAATTACGTAAAAAGTAAACGGTTAATAATACTAACTTTAATTTTAATATTATAATAAAAATTTTATTTTAATTAAGAGAAAAATCAGCATTGGCTTTTGAGTTTCTTTTTGAAAGTATTTTTTTTATTATTATTAAATAATGTGGCGTAGTCGTAAGAATCTGATGCGATTCGCGAGAAACGGAAAGGATTTGCATAATAAATTCTGGGGCAAAATAAAATTTTAAATATAATCGAAAAGAAAGTTTTGTTTATTAAAAAAAGGAAACTTTATCTTATTTTA